GATAGTATCGCCCACTTTCTCAACGGGAAAGTTACGCAAAATGCGGCCATTGATTGACGACTGTTTGAATACATTGGTAAACAATTTGGACCGACTTTCAAGCGATGAGTCAAATGCTGAACGCGTGCTCGATATGAAGCGGGTGTTCGGCGCCTACACTATGGAAGTCATAATACAAGTGGCTTTTGGCACTAAAGTGGACGCACTTATCGATGAAAGCCATCCCATTATAGTGAACGCCAAGAAACTAATGTCCAGAAACTTCCGGTTATGGGAGTTGCCGAAGATCTTGGTTGTAATATTGTTACCAAAAGTTGCTAAACTGTTTGGCCTGACTTTGATGCCCCGGGATATCACACAGTTTTTCACTGACATCTGCACCAAAATTATCGCTGAGCGCAGGGCTAGTAAGGGGTCCGGGGATAAGAGATACGACTTTTTGCAGCTCATGTTGGATGCAAACGATAAAAATAAAGAGACCGAAGATAATAGTGACTTGAATTCAGAAACAAATGCTGATAAATCTGAATTAACTACTGATGAACATCCCGGCGCTATACAGACACATAATAAAGGTATGTTATGTTTGAAACAACTGTAACTATTGGGTTGAAAATTAAATAAATAATTCGTTTGATAGGTATGTCCGACGCGGAAATGATATCTCAATGCGTGCTGTTTTTTATGGCCGGGTATGAGACCACAGCCACAACCATATCATACGCCACATACCTATTGGCAAAAAATACGACTTCACAGGAAAGGCTGTTTGAAGAATCAAAAAGGATTTTTGAGTCAAAAGTTAGTATACACTGAACCAAAGTCTCGGAAAATCTTACAATTAATTCATTTCCAATGAGTTTATAGTCGGACATCGATTACGACGCTATCGAAAGGCTTGAGTACCTGAATGGTGTAGTGATGGAGACCTTACGCCTATACCCACCGGCACTGGCACTGGAAAGGGAGGCGTCGACTGATACAGTACTGGCCGGTGATGAGGAGACCATCAAACTATTCAAAGGAGATATATTTCAAGTACCCATTTATGTGCTGCATATGGATCGCCAGTATTTCGACGATCCCTATGCCTTCAAACCGGAAAGATTTTTGCCACC